CCCATAAAAGCTATACCACAATCATACCAATGTGTATGTGGTTTTTAGAAGTAGTGATTTAATATTATTTTGCTTTTCTCTGTGTGAGCATACAACTTCCCACTTCTTGCACAATACTTTTTTCTCATTGCCTAACTTATGGTTCTTCAAAACTTTGTTGCTTTTCTTCAAAATCTGACTTTCCAATGCTAGATATGTCCCAGTTCCTTGCACAAAATTTCCTGTCTCTGTTACCAAATATATCCCACTGATCCATGTATGATTACCTGGCATTTTCTTCTCTACTGACCTGTGGGCTTCTCCAGGACAAGAGTTCTAATGTTAGGGACTGTGTTGGGCATGCTTCTGATGACACAGAACAAGCACTGGATTGGTAATTAAAGGAGTACATGCCACATGACTTAGAGTGCACAACTGCTTCTATAACAAATTATTCATCAAAACCATTTATCACAGGATATGAGTTTTCCTTTGGCAGTAAGTAAAATCTAGAGGAGTTAAATCACAGTCACATCCTCTACTCCTTCATGAACTCTACTCCATCAGGAACTTCCTGATTTTTGCTCACCTAGACTTTGCTCCATGGTATTGTATTTCTTTTTTTTGAGACAGGTTCTTGCTATGCAATTCAGGCTGGCCTTGAGCTCACTTTGTAGGCCAGGCTGGTCTTGAACTTGCAATGATCCTCCTGCCACAGCCTCCCAAGTGCTGGGATTACAGATGTGTGCCACCATGCCCGGCTGCCCCACAGTATTCTAAATGAGTGTTGAGGGGTAAATCACATATCTTAGGAGATGGACTAAGTGCCTTTGGCATAAAGAAATGTGCATGAGTCTTTGGGGGACCAGGTGTAGAATATTACAGTTTGTGTCTACATTTATCCACAAAGCCTCATGCATTTAGTCTATCTCCTAAGAGTTGTCAAACTTCTAACAGTTTCAGCATTGCTGAAAAGTCCAAATCTAAATTTTCCTCTGAGATTTCAGACAGACTCTTAACTGACAGCTCTTGTGCAAATGAAAAGAAAGTTAAACACTACAACACACAATGAATTATGATAGACATTTCCATTTCAAAAGGTACAAAGAGGAGGGCAGAAATGAATGGGAACAAAGCGAGACCAAAATCCAGCAGGGCAAACATTTAACCCCATAATTCCATGTCCAGCATTGTAAACAGTCTGTGTGGCAAGATGTGAACTCAAAGGATTTAGGTGGCTCCCTTCCTATGGTACTTCCTGTGGTTGTAGCTCCCAGGGCTTCTTTCTTTGGGCAGATTTGCTCATTCACTGCAGTTTTTCTCAGATGATCTGCTAACTCTCCCGGCTTCTTCAACCTTCTGGAGCTTACACTGCCCTTTTAGCTTCAAACTTACAGCATTACACATTACCTCCTCAGGGGCACACTGCCTGGCCTCTGTAGCCTTTTCCAAAATCTGGGTTGAAGACTTCTTGATCCTACAACTCTTGCATTCTACATGAACCTAAAACCTGCACCACATGGACAATGCCAAGGTCTTCCACCAGCTGGATCAGTAGCCACTCTTCCTTCTGTCTTGGCTGAACAGGTGTTGTCTGGAGGACTGGGAACAATATCCTAAGGAATGAAATTCTAAGGACTAGGAACAAAATCCTAAGGAACAACTTCTCTAGGTTGTCATCATTGTGGATCATGGTGCCCTGGGGCTATTTTCTCAAAATAAAGTCTTTCAATTTTACAGTTTTGAGGCTGAAAATGCTGAGTCCTACTAGTTCTTGGGATGATCTCAGGCCATCTTTTCTATTCACCTGTTCCTTCTCAGCAGTCAAGTTCTCCCCTTCTCCATCTTTGCAGTCTGCAATTTTACCAAAGCTTCCTTTCTGGCCAGACTCACAACGTTTTAAATCATTCGGATGGGCTCTTTGGTCTTGATTCTCAATGTCTAAAAGCTAAAAGTGCCCAACAGTAGCTCTGCCATCACCTCAGCTTTAGATTGCCTTGAAATTTTGTCTGCCAGATTAATTAGTCCACTGTCCTTAATCTCATTCTCAGGCAGTCTCTGGACAGAAGCAAAATGCAGACAAATTTTCTGCTAAAGCATAGCACACACGGTGTAGAGTCTAATAGCCCATGCAGTCCTTTCCAGCAGAAACTTTGTGAGCCTTGTCTTTTCCTGATGCCTTTTTTGTCACCATTCTGGTCTTCTGAGTATAGATCAGAACCTTCTATGTAGTACAGTTTAAAGCATTACAGAGATTCTTCTTCCATCAGCACCTCGAAACCTTTCCAAACTCTTCCCATAAGCCAGTGTCAAAGACTGCTGAACTACACAGTCAAGTACAATCACAGCAAGGACCCCACTTCTGGTAGAAAATTTGTCTTGTTACTCTTCTTGTTGCTAAGACAAAATATTTGATTCTCCAAGTTAAAAGAGGAAAAGTTTATTTAGCTCACATTTTTTTAGAGTTTGTGACCATAGTTGGCTGTCTCTAAGACAGGGTGGCATGGCAGAGGGGCATCATAGAAGAGAAACAGTTCTTGGTAGGCAGAAAGCAGCAAAGCAGTGAGTCAATGGCAGCCCCAACCAAGCCTGCCTTTGTATTTTACCCACACTACCTGCCCTTTAGGTGGTTCCATCCATATTGAGGGTAGAGCACTCTTAATCCCAGCATCACACATCTAATTCCAGCTCATACACCCTAGACTCAGCCATCTCTGTGAAACTCTACCTATGTGTTAGGCTTTGGGGAAAATCTAGATATATCCACAAGGCACTTCCACTGGATTATCTGTGATGATACCAACATTCCCATTCCCCTTCACAGTGTATTAATAAAGGCCTGGTTATTTGCTTTCTGAGAATCAGAGATATTCAAGCAATGTTTAGTAAGAAAATACCATATAAAAAGAAAAAATAACCTCCCCTTTTCTGCACTTTTACCTTGCACCCAACCTCCTGAATAAGCTATGTACACCATGAGCAAGGAAGTTTCCATTACAACTATAAATTTCCAAATAATATCCAACATTATTCACTTTCAAGATAAATTTCTGAGTCAAACAAATTCAAGGCATGCTCAATATATTTTGAATGTTTACATTTTAAAATTATTACAGTAAAAGACACATTGTCATCAATTGTCCTCAGAATACTCCCCCTCACTTCAAAATATTCTATTGTTCTTGCTAGTCTCTGAAGTAGTTGTGGAAGTTCATTTTTGTTTCTTTATGAGATGTGATTAAAAATATAGTGCCTGTTGTTGATGGGTGATATGAAATGGAAAGTTAGGATCATAAAAACATTATGTTGTGTCCTCTTCCATTGGATTTTCTACCATGTGACTTCTGCTTCTTCTCCACAGACAAAATGACCATAAAAGGTGAATGTTCTGAGTTGAGTCATAAATTCAGTACATAAATTGAGCCAAGATAATGCAACTAAAGATATGAAGAACTTGCAGAACTGTTAAAGTGGTAAGAATGATGAAATGTGTATTACAAATGAAGGACAGTATTTTGAATGGGACTAGTGACAGTGTGTCTTTCACTGTAATATCTTTTATTATTTAAATGTTCCTTGTATTTTTCAATCATATGTCATAACTGAGCTAGGTTTCAGGGAACAGAGAATTTGGATATGGTATCCTGATGACACGACTATGTGAAATTTTTTACACATATCTCACAAGCTCATAGATACTATTTTATGATGATTTCTCAATCCATAGATTTTCTGATTTTACCTGTTCAATTAACTACCATTAAATGTCTACTGCTTCAGAAACAGATCTAGAGAGATATAATGTTAACAGGGATGTGGTCTTCTATTAGGACCCAAATTATATTTGACTAGAGGGGATCCAGGATGCTGTGATAGAATACACTGCAGGATATGTAGAGGATTCAAATAAGACAAGGGTGCAATTTTCCTCCAATCAAGTTCACCTGATTTTACCCATACGAAGTGCACAGGGTGAGAAGACACCCAGGTGATCTGACTTGTGGACCAAACAGCCCTATAGTATTTTAAAGTTGTGTTCTATTTTTTCTAGAACCTGTTGTAGCTCAAGACTTGTTACTTCTTTTTGCTGAACTGAACTTCTGCATCAACCTTATAGTTCAGTCCCTGCTGGTAACAATAGAACAGTGAAAAAAATTGCTGTACTCAAAAGAAATTTTACATGGGCTGAGAGCAATTTGACACAGGAATTCTTAAAATTATAATGGAGCAAGCAAAACTGCATTAAACAAAACCAAAAAGCTTTACATTAAATAAAAGCAAAGCATGTGTGGAAATGTTCTGTGCATATTTTCATAATCAAGTCAGTGAAGAACAGTTTAGCTGAAAGACAAAGGAAACATAGATGTAATGGGCATGAGAACTTAAAACTAAATTTCACTTTATAGAAACATTGAGTTTGAAGAATATAAGAGACTGTCTGTAGATAGACCCAAATTCACATCATGAATCTGTTACAAAATAAACATGTGTGACATTTGACACAAGTTATTTCATCTAGATAAAAAAGTCAGAAAGTCAAAAAGAATGCAAAGATTGTTATGAGGACTTATTAAGTTTATCAGGAGATATACACGCCCTTCACTGTATTTACTGGTAGTAAAGGGACTAAAATTTCAATGGGAAATAGAGAAAATGTACAATGTATCTGTATACTTACACATTGTTATCCATCTCTTTCTCAGACCTAACCATTGCTCTAACCATTAGAGAAACACAGGCTGAATCTCAACACTTAATGCTGCATTAGAATATTTGTTTGAAATGGGGTGCTGAGAACACAAGGACATGATGTGATAACCACAGGCCTTCTGGTCCAAACCTCACTAAAGGCCCTAGAAGCAGGAGAACCGACCATTTCCAAAATTACAAACAGTCACAGACATCGCGGAGTCCTAGTTCATATTGAATTTCTCATCTACATCCCTTTCTCTTTGGGGAAATTTCATGCATCAACTTGTGTGCTTCCTTCACTCCTGCAGAAAGATTGGGGTTCTCATTACCATTCATCCTTGTCAGCATCACAATTGCAGAAGTGTCGAATATCCAGGCAACGCTCCTCCAGGCCACATTCACACTGCTGGACCCCAGGAAGAGAACCTCCCCAGTAAGGGTGCTTTTCATTGGATCTCCCGATCCACCAGGTAAATGGGGTTCCATCTGAAAGATGAGACATTTCATAGGTCACAGGGGCAAACTAAAATCACAGCGGATGTCACAGAAACTGAGATGAACTATCTTGAAGATATTTATTCAAAACACTATTCTTTCAAAAGAGACAATGTGTTCTTTCCTTCTTTTCCCTTCCCTCTATCCCTTTTGCTCTGTTTCCTCCCTCCTTCCCTCTCTTCCTCCCTTCCTTGCTTCCTTTCTCTCCCCTCCATTTGTCTCTGTATATCTGTACATTTACACACACATGCACACATATGCACACATGCACAAATGTGCACACACATACACACACACACACACAAATTAAGTAGCATTCTCATTGATGTTTTTATGTCATTGAATGTAGATCAGGGACACAGTTTGCGGGCAGGGCCACAAACTTCCAGTCCCTGGAATCACAGTCAGGGATCAGACTGATTTTTGCACTAACAGCAACAGCAAAATATATATATGCATTTAAAAATTCACCTTACAACTACCGAAGACAAAACACCAACACAGCCAGAATGATCCTAACATTGGTCTTCAGTCCCTGGTGGACAATGAGAAAGGTGCAGCCTAAGATGTAAAGCAGAGCACAGGCTCAAGACAGAGGGACCCCCACCTATCTCCCATTGATTTTTGTCATGATTCCACCAGTGTTGGGATAACAATATGCTCTGATAGTGTTTTGGAAATAAAACGAACAAAGACATGAAATTTCAGGTTTATAGATTTGGGAAAAAAACTACAGCATTTTAAAGGCCAACAATGTGTGGGTCATTTGACACACCCTACTGAAGGTCATTTTTACCTTGTACAAAGCCAATATTCTACCTGCTATTTTACAGTTCATATTGTTAACAGAAAACTAGTTTTGAGTTTTGTTCTTATTAATTTCTTTCTTTAAAAAATTTAGTTTAGTACAGACATTTACATTTCTTTTGTGATTAAGAATATTTCAGTAGGTTAAAATTATCTTCTTATTCCCTTTAATGATTTGATCAATCTTCTATTTTTGCATCTATTAATCTGAGCAACTCCATTGAAGACAGCAATATGTAATATAACAGCCACTGTTAATCCCTATCATTTGCTTTGAAACCCCTTATCATGTTTACTGTCCTTGCTTTCTTTGTTTGGTTTGTATTTTGCTATTGTTCTTTTTTTGTACTATTTTTTAAAAATAAAATTAAAAAAATCATCATTCAGAGAATGAGACTTATCTAAACTAAAGGTGTAGATAGACATGAGCATGACATACACTTTTCCACTGAATGGTGGTAGATGTGGGTTCACTTCTGTGACTGCTACTCATTTTGTTCTGTGTGGTGTATAACAGATGACTGAAATACGCTCATTTTAAAAATTAAAGAATTATTTAATTAGACACCTTTTTTATAAGTTATCATTTTAAAGTAGAATAATTAATTAGTAGTTGTCTGAAGATGATATAAGATTGGAATTTTGCCTGGCCAGGATTTTATTATATGTCCAAGTTATGTAAAACAATGCCTCCATACAAATAGCACTAATTTTCCCTGAATTGCAACCTCTGTGAAAGTTACTGTGGCAAGGAGGGAAAGAAAGACAATTGGGAATTTTCAAAAATTTGTAGGTCATGAGAAGAACATGATGAAGGTTCTATGAAAAGCTTAGTTATTTTAGGGATGCAGCTTATCAGAGCAGACAGGCTAAAAGTCTAACCTCATTCCGGCTTAACACTGCACCTGCCTAAAATAGACCACATCCTTTTGTTATCTTCCAAGCAAGAAATCTAGTTACAGATGTTTGTTAACCAGTGTCTCCTTGTTCAGAATGATGCCACAAATACATTTCTTCAGTTTCAAATAATAGTAAATCATGGTTGAACACTTCAAGCGAATTTTTTCCTTCCTAAGTCACTGTTCAGGTGAACCATTCTCTGTAGCCTGAGAGGGCTGACGGCTTTTTTAACACACAGAGTGCTTCCAGCACTGTACTTAAGTGGATCATGCCAGAGTGTGAGTCTTCATAACACAAGGTGAATAAAGTGCATATTATTTGAATACATTTACCACTGTTGGCCCTGGGTCTGAGAATGGGAAGAAATCCGCCTTCTCTTTCTCCTGCAGCAGCATCAGAACTTCTCATCCACAGCACAGAGAATAGATCCCAGAATCAAGTTGCAGCTTATTTTTAATCATACACTACCCTGATGCTGTAAGCACAGCAATAACATCACTACTAATGGCCTAAGTTCTGGACAACCAATTTGTTGACAACTTCTGGTGGATATATTGCTCCTAGAAGTTTTGCCAATTCTTGTTTGGTGTGTTATCCATCCAAGATTTCAGAGGCTAGCTCCTTAGCAAGGAAATAGTATTTCCATACACAACCCCAGGAGACAGGTACTTGTACATAAGGAATCCCACAACAGAGACCAGAGAAGAGCAGAGGACACAGAGAGCTGGGAGAACACACCAGGACCTCCTGGTACCTGTCCTCAAGACCCTGTAGGGTGGGCAAGGTCATTAGTGTGAGACAGATGACTCTCATTTTTACCACGTAGCTGCAGCAGGATGTGGCTTGTCCCAGGGCTGTGATGCCCCTCCTCCTCCCCTTCCTTTCCTTTCCTTTCCCTTGTATCCCCAGTGAACTGGGACTACTTCCCTCAGTGTCCTCCCTGGCAATCCACCTGCCACTGCCGTTCTCCATTCCAACATGAGCACAGCCAGGCTGTCAGTGTGGCACCCTCCCTGTACCCACCACTTCAGCATCTTGCCTATTGGGAGGAGGGAGGGGACACCCAGCCGGGGACTTAGGGATCTGAGCTCCTTACTTATATACCCAACACTCACAGATAATATTCTAGAATATTCCCTGGTTTCACCCCTGCCCCTCATGGACACATGCCTGCAGCTGCTCTATAAGAGGTATCCCCAGTCACCTCTGGGATTAGTCTAGGAGGGCTCCCTCCTGTGGTGGAACCCCACTGTGGTGCACCGCAGGGCCTGTTAACAGACTCACTTTGGTGACACTGTAGACAGAGTTGTGAATTATTTCTCGTGAAGTATGGACACAAAGGTTCTGTAAATGTACTTGGAATATTTATCCTGTGGCCAGAGAGGTTGTTTCAAAAGAGAGAGCAATAAATATTCAGCCTTCATCACAGAAAAGTTCCAGAGACCAACAGTCAGTGAAGACCAGCAGCCAGCAGTGGCATAGACCCTCACCTGGTGGAGTGGACCTATGGTGCTCCACACAAGCCTGCATCCAAGGTGACGGCCGGCAGAGGAAATTTCCAGAAGCGGGCTTGTTAATGTCTGCACCCAGCATTATCTCACGTCACCAGCACTGCTAGCAAAGCTGTGCTATGCTGATTCACAATTTTTATCCAAATCTAGCAAAAGAACCCTAAGCTGATTGACAGTAAGTGTATAGGATATGGGAAAGACACTTATGGAACTTCATTAATATGCATGAAGTTTATGCACTGGGGATTACTGTTATATGACTTCATGCGTAGAAACTAAGTCTGGAAAAGCCCCCCATAAGAATCCTCCTGAAAAAGTATCAGCTTTAGAGTGTGCACAGTAAACCACCATAGAGTATGATCATTTGTCCCTTACTTGTATACTCTTTCTATATCACCAAAAGAAAGATCAGTCAAGCTTACTATGTGGGTAAAAGTGAAAATAGAAACATGACTGAGTATGTTCTAGTTCATAGACAGTGTTCCGAAATGTTCCTCATATATTCATCTATTTAACCATTGAATCCCTGAATCCTACCAAGAAACTATAAGTATTCTCCATCTAATATTAAAGAAAATGAAGCAAAGAATGGTGAAAGAGCTGCCTCAAGGCCACATGGCTGAAAGTTCAAACTTAGGATTGGAATATAAGCAGATGCTTACCTGAGGAGATAAACCCTATGTTGTATCACTGTATTTTGGTTTTAGCAAAAAGGATACGGGTTTTCAGCAAAATATAAATGGGTGAATTTAATTTATGAAAAATAAGCAGGGAAATTTTAGCTGGAGATTTCTTATATACACTAAAATAATGACAATGTGATTAATAAACATCTCTGATCTAGCACACATACAACCTCCTCACCCTGAGCTTCAAGGAAACAGCTCTGAACAGGTTTGACATTTCTGTGCATAGGAGAATCACTGTTCCATTTTTTCCTGCTGTAAATAATAAGACTGCACTCTTCTTTACGGCAGAATAATGCTCCATTGTGATATATATCACATTTTCTTTATGCTGTCATCTGCTGATGAACCCAGGCTGACTCCAAACTTAGCTTTTGTGAATAGTGCCAAAATGAAAATAGACATGCAGGTATCTCTTTTGTATGCTGATTTCATTTCTGTTGGAGATACACTCAAAAGTGCAATAGCTGGATCATATGTGAGATCTACATATTATGTTAACTGAAATAATCCAGACATAGAAAGAAAAGCACTGCATGTTCTTTCTAACATGTGGAAGCTACGAAAAAGTCAACTCAGTGCAGAATAGTAACTAATGGAGGTTGGGGAGGGTATTAGAGTCCGGAAGAGAGGGTAGATAAAGACAGTAGGATTCGATCAGTGTACACTGTATCCTACCTGGAAATATCACATTGAAATACTTTAATATAAATCAATACATGTAATCACAAATAAGAAAGACAAAAATAACAAACTAAACATTTTAATGTTTTCCTGAGTGCTTTCTCAAGTTTTATGTCAATTTCCTAGGACATAAATTGTTCCCTGAATTTTAAAGTGGCTACAGTATGTGACAAACAAGTTAAAATAGAACATTTTTTGCAAAACCATTATTTAACCCACATGGCACAGCAGACTGAGTGTGGGCAGTAGCCACAGGTTTGTCCATCAATCTCACTCTCTGGGAACTTTCTTCAGTTCACTTCAACCCAAGGATGCTCTTTCCCTCTTGATCAGTGTGGGGGCAAAATCCAAAGGTCTGTACTCTTTCTCTACTGTTGAAACTTTCTACACACGGCACTGTCTA